AAAAGAAAGAAAAAGAGAGTAATTAAAACATGTTTTTGAAATACATATAAAGAATGCCAGAAGAAATCATACACAACAAGCAGGACAGCTTTGAAAGTAACATGTTATACATTTTAAAAGGAATGCAAGTTGTAAATAATAGAAATTCTCAGCTTCACATACAACCCTTTCTGTTCTATTGGGCATAAGGAATCGTATACTCTAGTTGATATTTGTTAAGTTTAGATTTTTAAAAACAGGAAAAAAATAAAGGCACAGAATCAGGGGGAAGGCTAAAGTGGGACAGACAGTCATATGCTCTTAGCACAGGAACCCAGTTCCATCCATGGATCCCACACACAAAGAAATCAAAGGTCAGAAATGTCTACATCCAAAAAAGATTCCTGATCCTATATCCTGTGCCTTAAGTGTTTGACCTACTAGGAAAATTACAAAATATAAACATGAATACATTACAAAATAGAAATACATTTTAATAACAATAGAGGAAGTTACTATGAATCATTTGACAACTATCAAGCACAAGGGTACCAGCCATACTTTTTACACAAAATGCCACATAATATGTCGCATTTCAAAGTCATGGTAAACTTCAAAAACTATGAAAAATTATCTCAATATTATAATGAGCACGTTCATTTTAATGTAATAGAGACATTAGAGAGAATTTGTTTCATAATTTCAAGCAAATGTTTCTAAGTCTATATTTTTAAAAAGCTGTTGAACTCATTTTTTCATCAACTTAAAAAAATAATTTAATTTAATTTTTATCATCAAGGTTAAAGTACAAGACAAGTAAGCCTTATTCAGAAAACAGAGGCAAGGCTTATTCCAAAGCTAGTTTTTTTTTTTTTTAATCATTTTTTAAAATAGTAAAAGGCAGGGGCAGCTAGGTGGCACAGTGGATAGAGCACAGGCCCTGAAGTCAGGAAGACCTGAGTTCAAATCTGGCCTCAGACCAAACACTTGACACTTACTAGCTGTGCGACCCTGGGCTAGTCACTTAACCCCAATTGCCTTAAAAAAAAAAAATAGTAAAAAGCACAGACAATTCTTGATTATTCAGGAACCAGTTTTTCAAATTGCAGATTAGCCCAGGGGGCAATGTTCTCTAAAGTAGCTAAACATGTAAACAAATGGCTAATGAAATCATGGAATCTTTTTTGGAAAGAAAAATTGCTATGTGGTCACTTATCTGGGATGGTTTAAATGTGATGCTGCATAAAGATAGGGTTTTATTATGTTCCAAAGCATCAGTTTCTTGCACTGTTACCCTAGTATAATAGGAATAAGTGACTGACTCTTAAAGACTATATATCACTTTGAAAAATGAACAAAGGACAGTAAACTCTGACTTACAAGTCCGAGGTTACTCTATCCTGGAAGGAGTCTGCTGGAATCCAGTTAGATCCTTTGATAAATATGGGAAGTCCATTAATTTTGAAGTAGAAACTTAAACCGGAGGACCCAGCTATTGGAGCCTCTATAAGTTCTACTGTCCGGAAATAAACCTATCGCAAAAAGCAAGAACAAAAAAAGTGAGAATTCACAGAATCAGTGCTTACAAGCAAAAAAGAAAATCCACACTTTCAATAACTAACACACACAAGTAAATTTTAACACTCTTGCTGCTTACTAGGGGCATTTCAAGGCAATGTGATACAGTGAAAGAATTCTGGATTTGAAGTCAAAGGACCTGGGGTTCAAATTCCAGTTCTTCAGATATGACTGGTCTGCCCAAAGCAGGCATTTATCCTACAGGCATTTCCCAACCTTCCCTTCCCCTGTAACGTTGCTGATCAGGTTGCTAGGGACGCTGTTGTTTCAGACAACAGCAGGACTCAGAAATCAAAGATCAAACCAGTACTGGGGCTCAGAACCTGGGTGACCTTGGATAAGTCATCTCATGTCTCTAAGCCTCAGTTTCCTGTTTGTAAAATAAGATGGTTGATATAACCTCTAAGGATTTTTAGCTCTAAATGAATAATGCTATGAAAGTATTCCTCTTGAATTAAAAATTTAAAAAAAATATTCAAATTGTGGGTACAGCCCATGAGTTCTCTCTTTAGACAGGCTGATGCATGGGAAAGAGGGTTCTAAGACCTGGATTCAATTCCCACCTTTGATAATGACCACCTGTGTGACCTTGGGCCAGTCATCACTCCTCTACCCCTCCCTTCCTGGTCTCAGTTTCTTCATGTAAAATGAGGAGGTTGGACTAGATGAATATTATGATAGGAAAAAAATGTTAAATTAACAATGGAGAGATATTTCTATGTTACCATCTATATCAGAGATTTTGTTGGAGGTAAGCAGTTATGTTTAGATATGCTTGAATAAAATTTTTATAACCGAAAGCAAAACTATATACAAAGTATTTCACAGTCTGACTTCTACTCAAGAGGGTAATCAGTCCAGCTTTTCATTTGTAATGTTCAAGTCTCAATATTACTTGTTTGAAGATTTAATTTTAACTAATCTTTTTATTATTCTAGATAGTGAAGAACATGTCACACTCAGGACATGCTCTTTCTCAAGTTTTCCATAAGGAGAAGTCAGGTTGAGACTTTGTGGTCTTGGGCGAGCCTCTCTGGCCCCTTAGTCTAACACAAGGAATTGAATTAGATGGTCTCTAACATCTCTTCTATCTTGAAATCCATGATCCTTTGATCCTAAAAATAATCTTCAAACACTCCTGAAGGGTGAGTTAATCATATTTAGCCAGCCAAAGAAGGTGGCAGATCAGCACACAGAATTATTCTACAGGAAACTTGCATATATATTCTATTTCTAGAATCTCTTGACTATTAAAGAGAAAAGATCATTAGATTTAGCAATTAAGAGATCATTGGTAAGTTCAAAGAGAGCTGTTTTGATTGAATGATAAGGTCAGAAACCAGATCACAGAGGGTTTAGAAGAGATAAAGGGAAGAAGAAGTAAAGGTATATCTTATGTAGACAGATTTCTCAAGGAGTTTGAACAGAGAAAGGCAGGACAGATATAGGAGAATGGCTAACAGGGATGGTAGAATCAAATGAGAGTTTCTTAAGGATGGGGAAGAAATAAGTGTGTTTGTAGGCAACAGGTAAGGAGTCAGTAAATAGGGAGAGATTTGAAAGAGGGAGAGGGTGATAATACGGTCATTCTGCCGGTGGAGACAGCAGGCGGATAGGATCAAAGGTAGATATAGCAGGACTGGACATGTCAAGCAGAAGGGCCAACTCCTCATCAGTTATTGGAGTGAAGAAGAAGATAAAGTATGATACCAAAAGAATACGAGATGAGGAGGAGAGAATGAGCTCTGGGTAAATGGTCTTTTTTCCAAGAAAAGGTCCACAGTAAGAAAGGATGGAGGGAAAGAGGGCCAAAGTAGGCTTGAGCAGAGGTGAGAAAGTCTGAAATAACCACTGTGAAGAGTGGGATAGTGAATCAATTAGGGAGCTATAAAAGGATTGCCTTGTAGCACTGAGGGTCCTGTTGAGCTTAACTACAATAAGTTTGTGGTAGATCAACAGTTCTGTGATTTCCTCCAGCTCCCTTAAGCAGCACACAAATAGGAATAAAAGAAGCAGACGTTAGGAGGAATCCAGGTTTGGGCATGGCAAGCAATGATCAATGGCAGGACAAGGGGTCAAGGAACCCAAGTGGAGAGCAGTGTGGAAGTGAAGTGGTCCAACACTCTAGGGAAGAGAAGAGTGTGCTATGTGTAGCCAGTGACAGGGTGTCAGTCTGAGAAATAACCAAAAAAGAAGAGGAAATGGAGGCCACAATGAGGGCAAAGTACAGAACTTGGAGTTGAAAGACATAGGGAAATATGAAATGATGAAATAGCATGCTATAATAAAAGAATTTAAGAGTTAATGAATACACAAGTGGAACATTTGCGAATGAGGGTAAGATTAAGGGTATAAGAATCTCTGTATGTAGCTGAGGTAGTGTGGAGTAGTCAGATCATCACAATCATGCATTTATATAGCACTTATTACATGGCTAGGAAATACGCTAAGCATTTTAACAAATATTATCTTATCTGATCCTCACAACAACCCAGAAGATAAGTGCTACTATTATCTTCATTTTACAGATGAGGAAACTGAGGAAAATGAAGGTTAAGTGACTTGCCCGGGGTCATACAGCTAGCTAAGTGTCTCAGGCTGTATTTGAACCCAGACCCAATGTTCTATTCACTGCACTATCTAGTAGATTGAGGAACTGGGAAGTACGAGGAAATATCAACACATATGCAGAAGTCGTGGTATAAGGTCAGGAGCTGGAGTGGAGAAAATGCTGTGAGTCAGACACTGAACTCATTGAGGAAGGAAGGATAAGGTTCTGAGGATCAAAAGTAATGGCCTTGGGGCAGCTAGGTGGCACAGTGAATAGAGCACCGGCCCGGAGTCAGGAGGACCTGAGTTCAAATCTGGACTCAGACACCTGACACTAGCTGTGTGACCCTGGGCAAGTCACTTAACCCCAACACCTAACCAAAAAAAAAAAAAGAAAAGAAAAAGATAATGGCCAACCAGGATCTGGATTGGGTGAGAAATCTGTATGGCATAAACCTCAACAGACAAGACACAGTCAAGTGATGGTGGTAGAGGGAAAATCTGGAAGTAGCGATGAGAAGCAAGGAGCATTCCAACTTCTTCACAGCAACCAGTGAGTTGGGGCTTTAAGTGAATGCGTAAATAGTATTGGAAAGGGTGGTAAGGGAAGCAATGTCATTAGCAGGGAGCCAGGTCTCAGTGAGTATTATATAAAAGGAGAACAGAAGAGATTTAAGATGAAAGGAAGTTTGTTAATTATAGAACAGGTATTCCAGAAGGCAGGGCGGTGGCAAAGTGGATAGTGCGCTGGCCTTGAAGACAAGAAGGCTCAGCTTCCTGAGTTCAAATCTGGCCACAGACACTTAGTAGCTGCATGATCCTGGGCAACTCACTTAACCCTGCTTGCCTCAGTTTCTTCATCTGTAAAACAAGCCAGAGAAGGAAGTGGCAAACCACTTCAATACCTTTGCTAAGAAAACCCAAATGAGGTCACAAGGATTTGAACGGGGCTGAAAGACAAGTGAACAACAAATTCCAGAAGGCACTAGGGAAGTAACAGGTAGATGTGAAGGTAAACATGAGAAGGGCAGGGCTGAAGGGGATGGGAGTAAGGGAGAAGGCAGAGGGGGCTGGGGAATGAGGCTTGTATATTAGCAGCCAAGGTCTCAGAGTCACTGGGATGGGGAGTATACAAGGGGATAAGGAGCACGCTAATTATTGAAGAATGACTCCAGGCGGTATTTGGGGTGAAGCCCGTAAGGAAGGTGCATGATTAACTGTTTACTGTCTTCTCCTTTGGGGCTAGCATCATGACAGATGGTGATGTTAGATCCTGTGAAGACCAAAGAAACTCCCCTCATAGGATGCAGGAGCAGGAGGGGGAAAAGGAGCCCAGGCCTATACAAAAGAAAGCCCCATGAGGGCAGAAGTGGAGTCTTCTCCAAGAAGCCAGACAAAGAAGGCCCTGGGAAACAAAGAAGTAGGAGATCTGACGGCTGAGACCATGGAACAGCACCAAGAGAAGTCAAAGTGGGGTGGGTGGGGCATCATCAGGGCCCTCATCCTTTCTGACCTCGCTGCAACCTCTGACACTGTCAATCACCTCGTCCTCCTGGATATTTTGTCTTCACTGTCATGACACTGTCATGACACTCTTGGCTCTCCTACTACCTGTCTGCAAAGGATCTTCATCCATGTCAAACCCACTAGGGCCGTCTTGGATCACCTTCTCTTTTTCCCTCTTTACTATCTCATCAGTTCCCATGGGTTCAATTATCATCACTATGCCAGTGATTTACACACCATTATTTATTCAGCCCTTGTCTCTTTCTTTAGCTCCATTCTCAAAACCTCATGTTTCTTTTGGGCATTTTGAATTAACTGTCCCATAAGGTGCCTCACACTCAACCTGTCTAAAACAGAATTCATTTCCATATACCAAGATCAGCTCCAAATGAATACATGACTTAAGATATAAAAGGTCACATCTTAAACAAAGTAGATGAACCAGAGATACCCAGCATATCCCAGAAGATAAAACTGACAATACTGATATCATGAAATTAAAATTCTTTTGTACAAACAAAAGCAAATGCAGCTAAAATTGGAAGGAAAGAAAAGGAAAACGGGAGGGGAAAATCTTCGTAGAAAGTTTCTCTGATAAAAGTATTTCAAAGATATATAATGGACTAATTTTCAAGTTTATAATAATAAAAGCTATTCCACAGTAGAAAAAGGATCAAAGGAGACAAAAAAGCAGTTTTCAAAGGAAGGAATCCCAGTTACCAACAGCCATATGAAAAAATGCTCTAGATCATTAACAATTAGAGAAGTACAAATTTCAAAAACTCCAAGATACCATCTGATATCCATCAGATTGTCAAAGATAACAAAAATGGAAAATGACAAATGTTGGAGGGGCTGCGAGAAATTAGACACATTAATGTACTATTAATGGAACTAT